CAGGCCCTTTGATGATGTTGAGGCTTAGCATACTTTCCTGGAATAAACGAGCATGTTGATTTTCTGTCAGCCTTTCATGATAACGACCAAATGGGGAACAAACTTGGGGCTTGAGGTACATTGGATTCTGGGCTCACAGAAGTCCTCGATACCTCAGATTCCACATCTGGTGCAAGGTGGGCCACACTTCTCCATGGGTCCCTTTGGTTGGGGCTTGGGATAATTGGGCATGTTGGGAGCTATATAGAAACCAGCACGGGAAATCCACTAATGAGTGGTTTTCATTCTGCTTGTCTGAAGTTGTGAAATCTATTGTGTGGGTTATAATAAGAGTTTTTTTTTTTTTTTTAAAGTTACCCACTGGAATTGAATAAAGTGAAGAGATGGCAAATTCTGTGGTAAGATCTCTTTTTCAGGTATGTGCCTGTGTCTGTGCATGTGTGTTGAGTATACTTGGTTCCTATGCAAAATGCATCTTTAATCCTGGACTCACTCATAAGACTGGTGGCAGAGGGAGAATGTAAAGCCAGCATTAGGAGCGGTTGGGAAGGAGTGGACAATTGCCCAGACCTTCACCTAGAAGCAATCATGGAGCAGTCCTGTGAAATTAGGGATTTCTCCACATGTCAATTTCTGTCTGCTTGTTGTAAAATTTACTTTAAATGGATGTATCCCCATGTTATCTTATAACCAAACTCTTAGATGGGGACCATTCCTACTATTTCAAGAGAAATTGAATGGATGCTTAGCTCTTAAGTGGTGGCAAAGGTGGCATTAGTGCTGTGAACGGCTCTGAGCTTACTGAAAAGTCCTGTATCCGTGGCTCACATTCAAACTGACCGCAAACCGCAGGTATTAACTTGAGACTCTGTGTGGCCTCAACTTAGTTGTTTAAGCAGAGAGTAACTGTGCTTAAGGATAATTGTATCCCATCTTACTCCACTGCCTAAAACCTAGCCTAGCCTCCCCTCTGATGTGAAGGCTTTGGGACTTGTGAAAATATAGTACCAGTAATATTGAGTTCATATCTTCAGAAACTATCACTTCCTTACAGAAGGGGTCTCAATAAGCTCAAAGCACAGGGGAAATGAAAACAGCATGTGAACTGTCAAATAATTCCTTCCTTTACTTCTTTATTCTAGAAGCAAATCCTCCCTTTATTCTCTAAGCACAATCATTCTTTATTCTTTCCTTTATTCTCTAATCAAATTCTTATTGAGTGTCTGCTCTGTGCCAGGCACTGTCCCAGCCCTGGAGCTTCAGGAATGGAAATCATTGATTTCATAGAGATTGCTTTCCAGGGGAGAGACAGAGGAGTGAGAGAACCAAGTGAAATGTGGGCCAAGCTTGATGTGATCATCAGAGAAGATTAGATTGCTCCCCTAGAGACAAACACACAGATGGGGACAAGGGCAAGGAGATGGTGGATTGTGGAGATGGGAAGGGCCTGAGCTCTACCAGACCAAGACGAAACCAGCACCCGGCTGTGCAGTCTGCTAACCTCTGCACTGCCCTCAGAGGGAGGGAAAGCCTTCCCTGGTTCTCTGTCTCCGTGTTTGAGTCCCTCTTTTACAACAGCGTTGTCTGTACCCTACGTAATACTGTGTCCTTTTTATAATTAATAAATAATGGGATATACATTTGACTGACTGCTGTGTCAGAAAATATAAAGTAGATCTATGCACATCAACATAGAGAGATGCCCCCAATAATATTGAGTTTAGGAAGTAAGAAACTGACCTTGTTAGGGGTTTTAATGTTTTGTTACACAGGCACGGTTGAAAAAGTCATTGACCACTGATGATTGAACTCAATCTCCAGCCCTCCTCCACTCCCTGAAGTTTGGAGGGAGGAAGGGTAGGAAGGAACTGAAACTGCCCACCCTTTAATTCTGGCTCGATCTTTCTGGCCACCAGCCCCCATCCTGATGCTCTGTAGGCTCCCTGCCCCAATAATCTCATTATCTTACAAAAGACATTCCTATCACTGAGGAAATTTTCACATTTTTAGGAGCTCCTTCTGGGAATTGTGGACAAAGACCAAATAGGTATTTTTATTATAAAACAGACTTTAAGCTCAATACTTTTTGTGGACAATTAAAGGGATAAACATAAAGCATTACTATATAGCTTTCATGGGTACATACATACATTAATATACATTAATAAATATGTTCAAATGAATATCCTGGCCCATATCAAATTGAAAAGACTGCGGTAGTCTGTGATGGGAAGAGAAGTAAACCAGGGGAAAGAGGAGAGAGATTTTTAAGGTGGGTTTTAGAGTCACAAAAGGCAAGATAATTTGAAAATGGGCACTCCTATCATTGCCCTAGAAGTGAAACCACCCAGTCCAGGGGTGAAGACCTTTACAAACACTGTCTTCCCTTGGGAACCCTAAAGAGAGGTGAGATGTGTAGCCTTAGGGAACCTCCTTGTTCCATCTACTCAGTTCCCCCGCATCTCCTCCAGCCCCAACGATACAAGACCACATACTCACTGATGACTCCCAGGTTTGCATGCACATCCCACACTTCTCTCATCAACTCCACACTCCAGACTGGTCCCTCCTGCAGGTGGCCCTCTGAGAAATGCCCTGAGGTGACCCCACACAAGCTCTCTCTTGCACGTGGCCTGGATCAGCTGTATGGACCACACATCACCCCCTTCACCCCAACATACTCTCTGCCCAGCTCCTTCTTGGGCTTGCCTGCCACATCTTGCTAACCTGACTTTCACGTTTAGATATCTCAGGCTTGGGAAAGACCCAGTTCCCTGTCCTCTAGCTGTTCTCCCAAAGCTCCTGCTAAAACCCTCATTCTGAGTTTGAAGTGAGGAGCAGGCATCACCCTCCATCTTTGCCCTGGGGATCCCACACCCTAACATCTCCCTCAAAATATCCCTTCACAAATTCCCTCACCCCAACCCTTTTGTACCTGCTATTCAGGTGAGAGCTTTGACAGTGGTCTAACTAGTTTGTGGCCACCTGATTTGAAATATCTATGTGGTGGTTCACCTTGAAATGGAGCAGCAATTATTGCCATGTATGAGCCAATAGGGAGAAAGAAAGAATGAGTCCCATTCTGATGTTACACGTAGCATCAAGGACCTCAGCCTGGAGAGAGGGTATTTTGAATGTATTTGAAATGTGACCTTTAAGTCATAAAAACGAAGGGTACTAGAGCAATGAGAAGACATTTTGTTTCAAAGGTGAAAGAAAAATCAGATGAATGACCGGCGTAGGGGATATAATTGCCACCACAAAATGCTTCTCTAATATGAGGATGATTTTAGGTTGGTTATTTTTAAGAAACAGAAGACTCAGGAAGTTGTCCTTTTTACCTTCCCCTTAACTGCTTAAAAGCATTTAGATCGGGGGGGCTTGTTCCAAGAAAGGAGCTGTCACCAGAGGTAACTAAAAAGAATATGAGCTAGACATGTAGACTGGGAAATTTTCCAAGGTCTGTATGTTCACGTTCCTCTCTGTGTCTCATTGCCTTTACATGGCGGGTCACATACTTGTTTACCAAACAGTTCCTCTTCCCATTACCCTGTGCCTTTTCTTCCTCACCTTTGAAGCCCTACACCCTTAGCCCCAACTCCTTTGCTCAGAATGAATACATAGCCTTGATTGCCTGACTGCCTCTGCACCCCATAATCTTCTGGAGCCCTCTTTCATAGGTATAGTAATTAAATTTGTTTTTTTCTCCCGTTAATCTGTCTCATGTCAATTTAATTCTTAGACCAGCCACAAAAACCCAGAAGCGTGGAGGAACATTTTCTCCTCCCCAACACCATTTTGTTAAACTAAAGCAGGAAGTGGGTGTGGCCGACCACTCCTTGCTTTGTGTGCCCGTCCTCCCACACAGTGTGATCTGAAATTGGGGTGCCCACAGCATAGGGGAGCAAAATTTGCTGTCCCAAAATGTATCTCTTTGGCATAGGATTATTTTAGGATGATTATCTTTAAGAAAGAGCTTTTATCTTCTCCTTAACTGCCTAAAAGAACTTAGATAAAGGGCCTATTTCAGGAAGAAGAGCTATCACCAGAGATTTCTACTAAGACTATGAGCTAGTGTGGTAGACTTGGGGAAACTTCGCAAGGCCTGTTTGATCAAAGTCCTCTCTGTTTCCCATTGTTTCTGCAAGGCATGGCAAACAATTGTTTACCGAACATTTATTTTTCCATCGTCCTGTAAATTGACTTCCCTCTTCGAAGTCCCAGACTCCTACCCCTGCTCCTGAAATCTGAATAGCATATAAGCCTCAATTGCCTGAACGCAGGTGTGCCTCACAGTATGGAACCCCTGCACATTCAAAGTTAAATTTGTGTTTTTCTTCCATTAATCTGCCTCATGTCATTTTAATTCTGAAACCAGCCGTAAGAACCTACAAGGGTAGAGGAAAATTATTTCCTCCCCTACAACAGGCTCAGTCCTCACCCTGCTCCACATACATGCGCCCTTTAGATTATCTTAACCTGTCCCATGTTGTCCGGCACCATCTATGTGCTGGCAACTCCCAAATTTATATCTCTACCCCAGGCATCTGTCCTGACCTCAGACCTAAATATCCTATTGTTTATACAACATCTCCCGCTTGTATGTCTAGGATGATCTTTAGTAACTGAACAAGACCAAACCTGTCTCAAGCCCCCATCCTTCTCTTCCCTTGTCTTATCCCTTTCAGGTAATATCAACGCCACCCCTCATTTGCACATGGGGCTGTCCACATAATCTTCTTTCTCTCACACTTCACACCCCCAATCTTGCAACCTGACCAAATTTATCCAGAATCCAGTCACTCCTCCCATTCTCACCACTATTGCCCTAGCCCTGGGCAGTTCTCGGCCCTCCCTCACTCCCTTAACCACCTGAAAAGGATGACCAGGCCTTCTGCACCAAACCACAGCTCTCCACCAGCCGCCAGCCCTGCCCCTCATGTCCCCAAACAAAAAACAAGCATCCTGTCCTTGCAAGTGCTAAGAGTTTGCTCACTCACCAGTTCAAGAGAGAAAAGACATTTCTGGTCAGAGCGCCGACCCGAATGTTTCCACTAAAACAGTAGAAAATGCAGAGTCTGCTGAAGTGCTCCCCGCAGCCCCCAGCACAGGAACAATCCAGAGAACTGTCCTCGCCCAGATAAAGGCAGACACAGTAGAGAGCAAGGACTGGCAAACTTCGGTCCTGCCTGGGAAATGAGGCCCAGGATGGGAGGCAGCAGGGAGTACAATAGCCTCTGACTTGAGCCCCTCCCTTAGGAGGAAAAGATTGATAGTTGAAACTAACATTTCCAGAAATGAAAATGAAACCAGGGAAATCGTGTTTATGTCTTTCTCTATAGCACCACATTTTCCAGTAAAGAAAATACAAGAGTGTGACTTCCAGAGGATCAGTGAGTAAGGAGAGGGCAGAGAGGTACTAGGGGTCAGGAAAGGCAGGTCTCTTAGGACCCCTGGGAGGTCACCTAGCCAAGACACCCAGGGGAGCACAGAGGACAGGGAAGAAGGAAGGCTGTGAGCAACTTTTCAAAGCTTCCAGTGAATGAGGGAGAAGCATTTCTCTAACTTTTCTCTGTCTTTTTTTGTTCTTTCATCGTTAGGAGACCTATACCTGACTGCCACATTGTCAACCCGGGGCCTGGATCACTCTGGTGGGTCATGGGGTCACATCTGATGAGCAAATCAAACTATCAGAAGGGCCTCTGGGGACACAAGGCAAAACCGCAAGGAGCTGGGCACAGAGAGGAGGGAGGAGTCTGGATTCCTAAATTTACATGGAAGATTAAGGAGAAAATACCAAATTTTCTTTAGAAGAAGAAATGGGAGGGTTTGCAGTACCATATATGGTATTTTTCATGTATATTTTATACATTGTATAAATAAAGTATACTTTAATGCTGTACTTGAGTGCTGGCACAGGGATGAATGAACTGACTCACAGAACAAAAAAAAACCGTACATTCATGTACCTTGAGAACAAGCATTTCCACTCCTAAGATGGTACCTAAGAGTCACTATGCACAAATGTCCAGAAGATATGTAGAAGTGTGTTCCTAACAGCAGTCTTCATAACTGTGAAAAAGGAGAGGATAACCAATGACAGAGAAGGGATAAATAAATTGACCTCTACAGCATCGTAAAGAATGGGTCATAGATATAATAGATAAATAAATATTAGTAGCATAGTGCCGAGTTTTTATTTTTATTTTTTTGCAGTACGCGGGCCTCTCACTGTTGTGGCTTCTCCCGCTGAGGAGTACAGGCTCCAGACACACAGGCTCAGTGCCCATGGCTCACGGGCCTAGCCGCTCCGCGGCATGTGGGATCTTTCCGGACCGGGACACGAACCCGTGTCCCCTGCATCGGCAGGCGGACTCTCAACCACTGCGCCACCAGGGAAGCCCATTGCTGAGTTTTTAAATTAAGAACCAGTATAATGCCATTTAAACAAAGTTTCAGGAGAACACAACAAAATATTGTTAAGGCATGAATATGTCAGTGATAAAACAACAAATGAAAGAAAGCAATCATAAACACATACTTCATGAAGTTGTTACCCAAGGGCTGGTGACAGAGCATGGAGTAAATAGGACCACATAGATAGGTATAGTTACTGAAGATGTTCTGTTTCTTGGGATAGTTGTTCAGTGTGTAGGTAATCATTATGTTATGTAAGTAACTAGAGGATTCTAAAAAGGAAAGTATCTCAGTTCTTTCCAAATTGGTGCTGCATATATTCTTTTCTCTGCAGTCAGTCATGAATCTTTCCCTCCTTCCATAGTTTGGGTACCTCAGAGAAATACTCTGTCTGACATATAGAGACAATCAATGCTATGATGGAAGAGAGACTGAGAAATCATTGTGGGGACAAGAGAGACTGGCATTCCAGGTAGAAAGAACTACAAGGCAAAGATGAAAACTCACAAATGAACTTGACAATGAGTTGTGCATGCAGGTGAACACAGACAAGCAGCTAATTAAAGACCTCAGGAGTAAAATAAGAAATAAGTAAGAAAACCAAGTTCATGCCTTCTCCATCTTTGCTCTGAACTGTCCACAGGCTGGGACCTGATGCCCTGAATACACATCTCACAGCCCACAGTCTGACCTTCTGCTCCTAAGTGCCCTGTGATCACATGAATCTTCTTCAGGACCGCAAGTGACACAGACCTGTCATGGCCACTACTGGTCACCTACCAAGTGGAATTGTTCTTTGGGCACCTGGACAGCTGCAGCCTCTGCAGGAGAAACTCTTAACTGACTCTGTCATAGGTCTGTGAGCCTCTGCAAAGATGCTTTCTCCCCGCACAGAGTAGGAACCAAAGTAGAATCTGGGCAAAGTCTACAAGAGACATACAAAGGTTGCTGATTGCACTTTGGGGCCGCCCTTTGGAAACCTCTTCTAGGTTTGGGCTCTCCTTTCAGGCTAATCTGTCTATTAGATGCCTGAAATGGTTTGGAACTGGGCTCAAGGGAATTCACAAGGTCCAGGAAGCAGCCTCTTTTGGTTGTACCACCTCCTCTCATGTTCCTCCACCTCTGGCAGACCCTCAACCCATGTGATGCTTGCATGTTAAGACTTTCACCACCAGACACTGAGCAGGCTAGAGTGTGGACAAAGAAGCTGAGTGCCAGGCCTCCATCAGAGACCAGGCTAGGACTGGGGATGCAGGTAAGCAAAGCAGGGAACAGGAGTAAAGGGAAGGAGGACAGGCAGAAAATGGGTTGCCTAGCATGGCTGAGTGTGTCCAGAAAACCCTCTGAAAGTGCCTTAACTCTAAAAGCAGTAGCTGAAGTGGAAAATGGGTGTGGTCCTTCCTTTACCCTGCAAATGTTTACTAAGCTTTTCAGTTGACATTGGGCAATGTTCTGTGGTGACTGACAAGACTAGGCCTCTAATATCTTGGTCTCCTCAGGGCATGACATGTTCAGGATGGGGCAGGCATCCCTGGATATCAATATGGTCTCTGAAATGCAAAGAGGCAAAGCACACATTTCCTGGTTGACAGAGGGAAGGAACAGCTCAGGAAATATTTTGTCTCCTAGCTCCACTCAGGTAAGCAAAAGTCCAGTTGGTCTAATAAACGATCTCCAGACTCTTATAAAGTTGAAATCTCCCCTGCCCTGGCTCAGTCCTTCCTTCAACTGAGATAGCTGCAGTGGGGCTAGAGAAAGTCAGCTCCTTCCTCTTTCTTCATCACACTTGACCCCATTACAAGGATGGGAGCTGGCTGAGAGGAAATATAAAGGGTAGGAATGACATACTTGGGTGAGACAGTTACAATCCTACTGATGACCCCTGGTGTAGTGAATGTCCCTCACATAGGAGGGACAATGGTAGGGGTGGAAGTGGCTCACACTAACATCCCCATTGGAATCTCAGGGACAGGCACAGCCCAGACCCACAGGCCTCTTACTTCCTGTTCAGGGTTTACAAATGGTGAAGAAATCCAGATTTATTGGATGAGGGTATCTTACCCAGGAAGACCAAGTCCAGACCCATAGCTGGCTTAAAATGAAAGCACATTCCCTTGCAAAGGGCTCACTAAAAAGTGATCCTTGCCTTCCCTTCTCTTCACCTGTCAGTCATTGTTTTCTGACCCAGGGATGGAATCAAGGGTGGTAAAGCCAGGCTCACATTCTCTTAGCTGGGTAAGTGTTTCCTAACCTGTTATCGACATTGCAGTCTCTGCCCAAACCTCGGTAAACAGACCCACTCTATCACCCTGTTACGGTGGAAGCTCTCAGAACGTGTCCAGCAGCTACCTGAGCACCTTTGGCTCAGGGACAGCCCCAAGCACTGCCACTGACCGGGCATCACTGGCCCACAGTGCTTTCAATTCCAGGGTGAAAGAAACAAGGTCCTGGTCATGGTCTGGTCTGATATGTCTCTGGTAAGTGGTGGAATCTCGCATGTGATGACACCAGGGTATTCTGACTTACTGGTTGCCTCGATTGGAGGTTTCCTTTGGGGGGAAAAGGCATAAGATTTGGTCATCTGGTTTTGAGCCTACTGCCACTTTAATTGGACTTTTCTTTCTGGGTCAAGGAGTCCCTCACCATCTGATGCTGCCTGATTGGTAACTGGGAAACTCCCTGTTAGACCAAGTTTTGTTGGTACCCCCATCTGCAGTGGTAGGTAGACAATCCTCTGTTCTCTTGCTAGGGAACTGTGACCCTGAGAGACTGCTGAGTATTGGTTCCTCTGGTCCTGGTCTGTCTGTTTCTGGTAATATTGACCGTAAATAAGAATAATGGATAATCAGAGCTCTGTTCCATCTTGTAGTCCCCTAGGGTGTATCTTACACAATTAGAAATTTCTCAGCTATGCTCCCAAGGAAAAAAAGATTATTATTTTTTTAACATGCATGACCATAGTATTCTTTAGACACTGGAGGAAAACGGGCAACATGAAACTCTTCTGACATTCCAAAACTGTTTTTTTGTGGGTTTTTTTGTTTTTTTTTTTTGCAGTGTGTTTAGAGAAAGCTGGCTTGATAAAGTATCTTTTCAAAATCCTGACCCTAAAAAAATAAAAGTATTCCTAGGACAAAACCTGCAGTTATAACTCTATGTCATGTTCTTGAAATGCAAACACAGCCCACATTGCCTGAGACTATGGCCTTGGCTAAATTAGTAGAAGATGAACTTAATAAAAGAAAAAAGAATCCTTTTAAACTCAAGTGAATAAACAACTTATTTCATCTGTTATTATAAATTAATAAGCTTTATACTGAAATACTTGATTCATGACTAACTTTTTAAATGAAGCTACGAGATCTCTGGTTCTGTCTGACTTCATGTAAAAATTAATTTGTAAATGGGCCCTACTTAACTGGCTTTAAGGAAAGTAAGTGCTTACAAATCAAATATTTTTAAATACAACAGAAACTAACCCAAATTTTTAAAGGAGCACATGACCTAGGACTAATTTTTAATGAATAAAAACAAGTTTAAGATTGTAGGTTTAATTAATAATGTCTTTAGAGTCATCAATGTCAAATATAATAGGTTTACTGAAAGTCAAATAAGTTCATACTATTTCTGTGGCAAATTAAAAAAAATAACTTGATATGATGAAAAATTAAATGTAAATAAGTGTTCTGGGGTGAACTCTTTGGAAATCATTATGTTTGGGGAATGTCTTCTTAAAAATAATCTTGTTACCAAACCAAACTTAGGTCCGCTCACCCACGTGCAGTAAAGCCAATCTACAGACACTGGGTTGTGGTGAAGGAAAGTGC